CATGTTTGAAGTCATCCTGACACGGATCCGGACCTTTCTGGATGATCCCATCTGGCGTGGGCCTCTGCCCAGCAATGGGGTCATGCATGTGGATGAGTGTGTGGAGTTTCACAGACTATGGAGTGCCATGCAGTTTGTGTACTGCATTCCTGTAGGGACACACGAGTTTACAGTGGAGTAAGTGTGCATTCTCTGACTCTCTGGAAGAGGACAGGTCCAGGGAAGGTGGGGGAAGAGAAACTGGTGGTGGTGGTGGTTGATGAAAGAACAAATGTGAGGTCAGCACTGATGACAAAGCTTTTAGAAAGATGACACAGCTCTTTTAGAAAATTGACAAACCCTGCACTGGTTAAATGCCAGTGAGGTGGGTTCCTTCCTTGATGCCAAAGAAAGGACTCAGGATAAGTATAGTGGAGTTACCTGAATCCAAAGCAGCTGAAGGCAAAATTTAGACATTCCCGTTTCTGGGTAGCAGTTCCATAGTCATTCTTCATAGGTCTGTGACCTACCAAACCGGCATTAATCAAAAATTGGGGAAATTGCTTGTGCTCATCATTCTCCTGTCTGGGAATCTGTGTAGACAAAGAAATGAATGTGGCCTGATCATTGTTCTCTCCCGCTTATTCATTCTGTTTGTTGCTTGGTGCTTATAGGCAGTGTTTTGGAGATGGGCTCCACTGGGCTGGCTGCATGATCATTGTACTTCTTGGACAGCAGCGGCGCTTTGCTGTGTTGGATTTCTGCTACCATCTTCTCAAAGTTCAGAAACATGATGGCAAAGATGAGATTATCAAAAATGTGGTATGTAGACAAAATCTTTTATACATTTGTCTTGGGGAGGAATTTTTTTATCCTAACATAAATTTCAAGTTTAAGAATAATGCAATCTAAACAAAAAGAAATCCAGAAATTTTTTATTTTTAAATCAGTTCTATTTCTTTTTAAGGTAATTTCATCTTACCATAGAGACTATTTTTGCAGATTGTTGGCTTCCAAATCATAATGTGGTTTTGAAACTTTTATTATCTTTTTATCATCTTATGAAGTTCCCCACAATTGAATTATAAAAAATAATAGTTAGCCATTATGTTCTCAAATACTTTCTCTTTTATATCTCCTTTTAGAACATTGTTAGACTTTTTTCTGCTTTCCATGTGACTTACTTTGTTGTATTAGTTATTGGTTGCTCCCTGAACTAATCACAATAGGTTTAAGGACAGAAATACCTCCACTGATTATCTCACTTGTAAATACCTGGGTTCAGCTGATTTCCCTGCTTAGGGTTACAAAGCCAAAAGGAATGTTTTCCCAGGCGGCCCTGAAGGATGAATGTGCTTTCAGGCTCCTCAGGTCACTGGCCAAATTAAATTTCTTTTAACTGTAGGAATGAGGTCTGTTTCCTGCTGCCAGCTCATATCCTCACATGCTTTCCACATGGCACCTTCAACCCACAAGGGATCACCCGCTTTTGCTACATCTTTCCTGTCTCCAACTTACACAACTTTTCTGCTCAGATAATTACATTGGGTCTGCCTGGACAAATCCAGGAGCTCTTTTGACGTCCCTAATGTCAGTCACACCTGAAAAGTGCTTTTTATAAAGAGAACAGCCACAGGTGGAAATGAACTCAGTGTAGGCATTTCTGAAGGGTTGTGTTAGCTCCCAAACCTCCATTTCCTTGGCTCTTTGGAATAAAGCCAGAGTGTCTTCTTCCTCTGTGTCTTTGAAGTAACTAACTCATTTCAGGTTAAGTTGGCTGAGATTTTTACTTTCAAACATTTTCCTCCATTTTAATCTGGTTAAAATCTTGGCAGGAGCCCGGTGGTGGTGCACACCTTTAATCCCAGCACTCAGGAGGCAGAGGCAGGAGGATCTCTGTGAGTTCAAGGTCAGCCTGGTCTACAGAATGAGATCCAGGACAGGCTCCAAAGCTATACAGAGAAACTCTGTCTCAAAACAAAAAAATCTTGGCAGGAATATTTAAACTGGAATGTCCCCTTATTTTATATTCGAATTCTGGTATTTGAAGGCCTTGGAGTCTCTGAAGGTCATGTAAGATGTCATATGCTTGTGTTACATGACTATTTGCAAGCTTCTGTTTCGTTTAACCTGATTGAAATGTCTTCTTCAAAGATTTGCTGTTGTTCATTGCCAGTTGTTACCACCCTGTGTTATTAGAGCTTCTCATGAAGTCTCCAGATGTAGACCAGGCTCTCTCTTCAACCCAGTCTACCTTTCTCATCTTTACCTCCTTGTGGGCAGAACCAGCAGTGCTTTCAAGTTCTGTGTCTGTGACCTTTACCCAAATTTAGAGAAGATATGGCCAAAGCACCTTCTCCATAGTACTGTTAAACTGGAAATACACAACTTACATTTTATTATTTCACAGGTCTTTGCATACTAAACATACTGTGTTCATGTTAATGTTCTTTTTCTGGGTTTGCTTTTGGGCTTTGGAGAAAAGGGGTCACCCAGCATGACCTAGAACTCACCATGTACCCCCAGGCTGGCCTTGAACTCACAGTAAACCTTCTTCATCCTAAATAGCAGAGTGCTGACATGAGCTACCACTCCTGGCCAATAGACAACTGATAACTGAATGAACATGCCTTTAAGTTTTACAGGTCTACACTTAACAGTATCAGAATTACAGAGAAGCAAATTTAAATTGGAAATGTATTCGTTAGTCCAATGGTGATATTTAAAAGATGCTACGGGTCAATATAATTTTTTGTTGTAGAACCCTTGTGTTTTAAAGCATAATAAGTATGTCTGATCTAATTGTAGCCACTGAAGAAGATGGTGGAGAGGATTCGCAAGTTCCAGATTCTCAATGATGAGATCATCACTATCCTGGACAAGTACTTGAAATCTGGTGATGGGGAGAGCACACCTGTGGAACATGTACGCTGCTTCCAGCCACCCATCCACCAGTCCCTAGCCAGCAGCTGAGGGCTAAGTTCACAACATCCAGTTACTGATGAGGGCACGTTCGTCTTTATGTATATTGAAATTTTTAGGGGCTATTTTGTCTGAACCTACTTAAGGGGGTGCTTTTTGATCTGAAAGCTTAACTTTATAAAACTTATTTTTCTAGACTAAAATTGTATATGCCTTTGGAATTGGAAGTATGAGAATACTGGTTGCCAGTATTATGATCTTAACAGGTATTTTTTATGTTGAATGTTCTGGTAGCTAGCTATGAAATACTGAATTCATTCATTATACTGTAAGAAGCATAATACCAACTAATTGTATTTAAAAAATTCCCTACCAATTTTGGTTAAACTTAATGATTAGCTTTGTTTATAGAGATTTTTCTGATGGTCTTTTAGGAAATCTTTTCTAAGTCATTGCTCCCTTTTATGCCAAAACAGTGAAATTGTTTCCTCTGCTTCCACTAAAATCAATAATTTGTGAGATATGACTTAAAAGATTAGAAAAATAAAAATTAATGCGATCTGTTCGTGTTCGTTCATTGGCATGTCAGGACAGTCCCTGTACATACCCATATTCCAGAGAGTGGGTTCAGCTCCATCAGTGTCATTTGGACAAGATCAGGACATATTTCAAAAACAACTTAGCACACATTTAACTTTACATTCAGGTTTAGGCAGGGTGACATGAAACTCTGAGAGATGTAAGACAACAGCTGTGTTGTCCAGAAAGGACAAGAAAGAGGAACACCAGGACTTCTAAGGTATGTGCTTCCATTGGGGACATAGGACAGTGAACACTGCAAAAAAGGGACTGAGGAGAATTTGAGCCTGTCCCCAATAGCCCTCAGCACTTCTCAGTTGCTGGGGGAATTGTCTCACTTGGCTTGAGTTGGTCCATGTGACCAAGTGAAAAAACAAGAACCCCTTTTGGCTCTACTATTGGAAGTATGAAATTAGACAGAAAATTGAGAATTGTATACAGTGATATGCAACTGACATCCCAGCCACTTGGGAGGCTGAGGAAGGAGGATCACTAGAGCCCAGGAATTCAAGGACAACTTAAGAAACATAGCAAGATCCCTGTCTTAAAAACTCTTATACAAAGAGAAACATGATGGAGCTGGGAAACACCAAAGTCCAAAAGCTTTGAGCTTTATTTTACACAGAAAATAAAACATAGGTACTATTCTGCTGTACTGTAAACCTGAGTTACATCTTTAACAAGCCTATTATCAAAAAGTTACCTAAAATATTTTTGTTGATATGAAGTCGTAATGGCATCTGTACTCACCCTATGAAGTGTAGATTTTAAAAATTAATGACTATATTATCAAGTGATAGCCCAAATAAAATCCTTGTGTACAAGATTATGTACAACACACTCATTCTCAATGAGGGAACTTTCATCCCCAAGGGAATGAACATTGGCTTTTTTACATGTGCAAAATAAGACATAGATACAGTACATAAACAGACATACAGCGTATCTGTGGGGAAAAAACTATTATCTCTGGTATTGGAGTTACATAGGAAGGCTGGAAATGGAGCTCAGTGTCAGAACATTTGTATAGAATATACTAGGTCCTGTGACTGGCACCCAGTATGGCCAAAAAGGAGTTACATAGAGGGTGGCAGCAGAGGAAAAAAAAAAAAAAAAAAAAAAAAAAAAAAAAAAAAAAAAATAAAAAAAAAAAAAAAAAAAAAAAAAAAAAAAAAAAAAAAAAAAAAAAAAAAAAAAAAAAAAAAAAAAAAAAAAAAAAAAAAAAAAAAAAAAAAAAAAAAAAAAAAAAAAAAAAAAAAAAAAAAAAAAAAAAAAAAAAAAAAAAAAAAAAAAAAAAGGTGATTTTTGTTTGGCCAATGCATGACTAAGAAGTAGGCAGGTCTGAAGCTGGAGTGTGTTCCTTACACTGACCTACTTTTTTTGTACTTGTTCTCATTTTTCTATGAACATTCTTAACAGTTTACAACCAAAATGTGTAAGGTTTAAACTCTTAAGCAAAATAAAAAAAGACCATTTTTACAAACATTTTAAATATAAGCATTTAGAATCAGAATAAGGACTTTGTTCCAATTTGTCATTTTATCCAAGCATGACTTTTGATATTTAAGAAACCACGTGAGTCTTCTTTGACATCCCAGAGTTGTTAAAAGGGCTGACAGACAATACAGTCCATTGTGAACAGATACTGAAAGGTCTAAGAGCTCACATAAGATGACACAGAGCTCTAGTCACTATGGACACAGGAAGTACTGAGGCCATCAAATTCGCATGGGAAACCAGATGTCTGGGTGACAAATCACCACCTGAGAATTATTTTCTTGGAATCACACACACATTATATTTTATAATCCAAAAGTCTTAGTATGGTGAGGGATTGATGGGATGGGGGATCACAAATGTACATTTTAATGTTTATCATGAATGAAAAAAATAAAACATTTTTATAGGCTTAAAATTGTCATTAGTGCATTTAGATTTCTGGAGAATGAATAAAAATGTAAAATACTTTTACAATAATACAATGTTATTAGAAATTATCCATATACTGAGGTCATTTTAGTGAGCTACCATTGTTTAAATATAAGAAAAGTAATTTCCTGATCCAAATTAGTGAAAACTTAAAAAAGATTGGTCTTCAGAGGACATTATTCGAGGACAATTTTTTTCAGATACATTCTGATACTCAAAAATCACTATAACAGAATTATAGGTTAAGTTTTCAATCAGATCCTTAAAAAGATGTCAGATTTCCATTTCTACGGGAAATATTTTCACCAGTGTGTTCAATTACACAGGGTAAACCTTCTTCGTTATTATTAAGAACTTCATACATATTAGAAAGATTGCCATTCACTGCTTTTTCGTCTTTCCGGAAAGATACAGGCAGACTTGCTAGACTAAAACTGACATCTTTAAAGGCATGCAACAAAAATATCCCCACAATGATTGTGAAGAAGCCACTCAGAGTCCCAATGACATCATCAACAGGCATATCTTGCCATTCTTTAAAAAGAATAGCTGAACAAGTCAAAACTGAAGTTGTAAAGAACACATAATATATTGGAGTCACAATGGAAGTGTTGAAAATGTCCAGAGCCCGGTTTAGGTAATTGATTTGTGTGCTCACACAGACCACAAGGCTGAGCAGCAGAATCCAGGCCAGGGGATGCTGCAGAACAGGCTTTCCAGCCAACAACTCTTTGATGGTGATGCCCAAACCCTTCACACAGGAGACTGAAAATGCTCCAATAACAGAGCAGATTGTTATATACACAAGAATGTTTGTCTGTCCGTGTCGAGGTCCCACCACAAAGATGAATATCAAGGCCACAATGACCACAAATGTTGCAAAGACCACAAAACCTAGAGGAAGCAAAGAAAAGCTAGATTGAATCAGAATGCACATATAAAACAAACTCAATAGGAAAGGTATATGTTATCTCCCAATACTGTATCCTCAGATTTATCTTGCCTATAAAATTGACTCCTAGTTGATGAATTAATTTTGAAATTTACTTTATGAAATTTGCAAGTTACTAATTGAAGGTAACTCATATTCACAACAAAGAAAGGTAACATGTAACTCCAAGAAAATAATTCTCAGGTGGTGACTTGTCACCCAGAACAAAAATTAGCTTTCTCTTGTTCCTCTAGCACAATTATACCTATACAAATACAACAAAAGTACACACTGGAGGGCTGGGGCAGAATGCTTGCCTAGCAGTGCAAAGCCCTGAGTTTAATATTCTACCACTTTAAAATACATGGTATAAAATTAAAATATGCTTCAGAGCTTAAAAAACTTATACCACTAACATTTTTAAAGTAGTCTCTTAGGCCTACTTAGGTATTCTAAATCACAAAGCAAGGGGAAAAGATAATCAAGACAGGGAAGGAAAAGCCAATGAGGATTAAGTTCAGGAAGTACCATGGAATAGTCAACATTTACATCTACAAAAATCAGGAGTTATGAGTTGTTTTCCATCAAAGGGACACATGTGAAAACAGGGCAAGTATTAGAATAAGTAGCAAGTCTTAAATTAAGAGAACCTAAGAACTGCTGGGGTCCTGGATGAGTACGGAGAAGGGGTATGCAGCATATCTGCCAACAGTACAACCAAGTGGGCCAGGCAGAATTCCAGTGATCCGTACTCCACTGCAGAGAGCACACAAATGACCTTTTGCATTTTAAGATGAAAAGGGGGAAAGGGGTGGGAGCATATACCAGTAACCCTAGCAGTCTGGAAGTGGAGCCAGAACCATGAGTAGTTCATGATTATCTTTAGCTATAGCATAAGCTGAAGCTGGCCCTATGTTACATGAGACCTTGTGTCAAGAAGAGAGAAAGAAAAAAAAGAGATGGAAATAAACCAAGGCTAAGGAAAGCTACTCTGCTTCAAACTCCATAAATAAAGGATATTTAAAGCAGACGGAAGGAAACAAGGAAAGAAAGACAGCAATAGAAATATTTTATCAGAAATATTTCTGAGTGTGTCAGAAAGTATAAGATAACTCAAAATAATACAGCAAATCTGAGAAAACTGAATCCTGAGCGTAGTAGCACACGCCTTTAACCCCAGCACTTGGGAGGCAGAGGCAGGTAGACCTCTGAGTTTAAGGCCATCTTAGTTGTATACACTAAGTTCCAGGCAAACCAGAGTTGAGACCCTGTCCTCCCCACCCCACCCCCAAAAGAAAAGGTTGGATTATACATGTTGCATTAGAATGTGACTTAGTAGCACAGAACACTCACACCCACTGTGGAGCAGTATAAAGGTGAGAGAGAACAGGACAACTGGTTCAAAGTCTACCCAGGCTGCCTAATGTACTTCAGTAGAACCAGACAATAAGAGTCCTAAGAGGAACTGATAATTTCACATGAATAACTAAGCAAGTTATAACTAAGCAAGTAGGATAACTATCAGTTGAGGCAAATTTCAAGATATACAACAAAACTGGGTACAGTGAGTCACATCTAAAATCCCAGGACTTGAGCCATGGGCAGGGACCATGAGTTGGTGGCCAGCCTGGGCTATAAAGTGAGACACTGTAGAAATAAAAGGAAGTAATCATAATGTTTAAGAAAAGTTTTATTGTGAGGACAGTATGATGAAATGTACGATGACTACAGTCAAGGACACCGGATAAAATGTCAAGTATAGTAACACTGATGAAGCTTTTCTTACCTGGATCACCTAACTTCTGTGACATTTCAGTTAAGGTCTCAATCTCCTCTTCCTTTGGAGCGTGAATGACCATAACTGTAGACCCTAGAATACTTAGCAAACACCCAATTTTCCCATGAAGATTAAGTCTTTCATTTAGGAAGTATGATGACAGAATGGCACTAAAAGGAAGAATAAAAGGTTGAACATTTAAATTAGTTTTTTTTCTCGCTTTTAAAAAAAAAAAATCAGCCGGGCGGTGGTGGCGCATGCCTTTAATCCCAGCACTCGGGAGGCAGAGCCAGGCGGATCTCTGTGAGTTCGAGGCCAGCCTGGGCTACCAAGTGAGTTCCAGGAAAGGCGCAAAGCTACACAGAGAAACCCTGTCTCGAAAAACCAAAAAAAAAAAAAAAAAAAAATCAACGGACTTGCAATGCAGATTACTGAGCTCAAACAAAAATACTTCTTGCTTTTCAACAAAGAAAATGTACATTCAATCAGAAAACTGTAACAAGGACTTCAAGGTTGCTCTGCTAGAAAGCTCTGGACTCTTCACCTGGATTTATGAGCATCCAACTAGTAGTAAAAGTGTGGGCTCTGCCCCCATTTTGCACTTGTCTCCTTTGCTCAGTAAGTATATCCTGCAATCATTTTAGATTGAAGGAGCAAGTCTGATCAATAACCATGGTTATATCTGAACTGCCTCCAAGCAAAAGCAATCCCTTACAGTGACAAGGACCCTCCTAATCACTTAGCCTGACCAGACTGATTGAGAATGCTTGACTGTGAATACTCTGGCTCCCTCTGTATCAACTGGGAGCTCATGTTAGTACCCCAGAAGACAGTAATAAAGATACTGCCCCCTTGTCTTTCCAGCATAGTAAGCTAATTACAGTTCCTGTCCTGCCATCTCTACGGCTTCTCTCTCAGACTGGCATTTTGGTATGAGCCACAGAATCTCGTCTAGGACCATCAGAACCTTTGTCCTAAAACTCCTAGAATAAAATTAATCACCTGCTTCACATACATTCAAACTGTGTATTTACCATCTTTTTACTGTAAGATACCACATAAAATATGCACTATAGAGCTATAATTTATATATTAAAAAATCTATTTCTAAACCAATGCTTCAAGTTTACCAAACTTAAATCTACTAACGTTTGCCTTCATTTTAAAATTACATTTATTTATGCCCTCTGCCCCTGGCTCGCTCTCTGTCTCTTGTGTGGAGCTGAGAAGACACTGCACAAGTAGGCCCTTTCTTTTGCATAATGTGGGTCCTGGGGATCAAACTAATCATCAAACTTGCAGCCAGTGCCTTTTACCTGCTGAGCCATCTTGCCAGCCCTTATGTGTTGATTTAATTGTGTACGATTTGCCTATAATCATCCTAAGTTACCTGGAAATACAGAGTCAGGAAACTATGGACTGGGAACATTTAATTATTAGTTTGCCTATAAATTACAAGTTTTTATAACTTAGTTTTACCCAAACCTAAAAAGAAAGCACAGAATAAACAAGATCATAGTATATATAATACAAGGAAAGCTAATAATAAAAACATAAAATAATCTTATTTTATATATAATTTATTAGCAAGGGTGATAAAAGTTCTCAACTTCCAAAATAGTTATAAAAACCCAGACTTCAAACAGGCTTAGCTATTTGGATTAATCACTACAATAACAAAACAAGACAAGCTTTAGGTCAGCCTCACAAAACAAGTACCTTTGGCCAGTCTTTAGAGGCATACCACCTCCCCCGAGACTTGATGTTCTATAGTAAATGAAGCCTATTTACCACAGTATGTGTATATTGAATGGTAAATGTTAGGCAAGTGCAACTTGGAATTTTCAAAAGTGGAAATCACTAACATGCTGGTCCTGAATACAAGCTGAAGCATAAAGTGATTTCTGTCCCACAAATCACTAACTATGCAAAGTGGTAACTTTGAGAAAACATTACAACAGAGTATTAAAAAGTTCTCAAGGTTGTTCAAGTGTACTGACACAGAATCAGTTTATAGCACTTTAGTATTTTACAGACTAAAATACCATTTCTGCATGTCAAATGTAGATTCTTACCTTACAAGGACGCTGAGAGCGCCTAGTGGAGTCACCAGTGTGGCTGGAGCAAAGGCATATGCAGCGAAGTTGGCCACTTCACCAGCTCCCACTGAAGAGATGAACAAAAACACCTCTCAGACAAGAATGTAGTCTATCTGAATATGCCTGCATTTTATGCAATACCTACATATTTCAACTATGTTGTTCAATAACTTCCTTATCTTCTCTCATATATGTATTAGTGCTGTATTTTGCCAATATCTGGTACCCAACTCAAGAAACAAATCTATAGTTTTAATTTTAAAAAATATAATTTATGCTTAAAAGTAATAAAGATATTTATAAACTAGGGTAACATAATTAAAAGAAGCAGATACTGATATAAATGTAAATTTCACAAGTCTTTACTGGATCCTTTTAAAAAACCCAACCTTAGAAACATTAAGGGCCTAAGGATCTATTTTCAACAGAGAATTTTTGCTTTCTGCCAGGTGCACAGGCACTAGCAATTCAGGACAAAGCAAGAAGTTATCCAGTGATGAGCTAGTATACAGTCTACCTCACTCTAAGACAGAGCCTTTCAGAGTTCAGCCCAGAATATGCTATAGTTCCCATTTCTGGCAACCAAAGGCTAATCCTTGTTAGTCCAATTCAGAGGTCCACTATCTCTTACCTACTTCCTCTAGAGCACCAGTTCTCAACCTGTGGGTTATGACCCCTTTGGGGTCACATATCAAATATTTACACAAGATTCATAACAGTAGCAAAATTACAGTTATAAAGTAGCAATGACAATAATTTTATGGTTGGGGTCACTACAACATGAGGAACTGTATTAAAGGGTCACAGCGTTAGGAAGGCTGAGAACCACTGCTCTAGGGTGCCACCTCTAGAGCTTTTATCATTCCTGCAACAAAGGCTAGTCTTCACTATCACATTAGCTCTTCAGTTCTTTTGAAGGTTTATTTTCCTCCAACTTTGTAACTTGTTTTCAGTGAAAATGTTGATCCATTTATCCAGTACACTTTTACTATATGCTTTAATATTGCTTTCTGTTTGGCTGCTTTTTGCTAGTAGTGGTGGGGAAGTACTTTTTTGTTGTTATTGTTTTATTTTAATTGCTTTTTTGAGACCAGTTCTCAACCAGAGAAATGATATCACACCTTTTGCTCAGGACCTCCAATGGTTTTCCACCTAACAAAGTAAAAATCCTTTCTGTGACCCAAGACGCCCAACATATCTTAAGGAAGGCCCTCCTTTCTCTGAACCTATCTCCTACTGCCTCTATTGCTCACTCCCTTACTACTGACCTTTCTTTAATGCTTCCTGAGGCTTTAATATTCTAGTGCTAGAGAGAAAAATCACTAATTTTGCCAGTGTAAAAGTAACAGTTACTGACATGGCTGGTTGGCCCAGACTTTACAACATGGTCAGGATCTTTTAAGAACTTGTGTCAGGTGTAAACCAAGGCTTGCAGTCTCTGAAGGTTACAGCCATATTCCAAGGTGGCACACTGATAGGACTGGCTGTTGTTCAGTGATCTCTCTAAAGATAGTTTGCATGTCTTCACAACATAGCAACTAGCTTCCCTAAAAACAAGTAATCCAAGAAAAAAGAGAAAAGCTGCAATTCCATTTATGATGTAGTCTTGGAAGTCATACATCATGACTTTCCTGGATTCTGTGATCATACTGGGCCAGCACTAATTCCATGTAAGAGAGGATTACCCAAAGTGTGAATACCAGGAGTCAAGAACAACTGGGGGCATCATAGAGAAGGCTTTCACATTCACAAGGTAGTCATAGTCCTCAGCAAAGTCTGTAGTTACTATTTCCTGCATTTCAAATGCCCTTTCCTCATATGGCCAGATCCCTCACACTCTCAATTGTCTATTACTCAAATACTATCTTTTCAGTAAGGTTTGTCCTTTGTGGTCTATCTACTCTCCAGTTCATATCCCCCTTCTAGCTTTGCACCTTCCATACACACATACACACACACACACACACACACACACACACACAAACCTCTTTTAACCTACTATTCCTGCTTACTGTCTGCCTCGCTTTGTGGTCTATCTACTCTCCAGTTCATATCCCCCTTCTAGCTTTGCACCTTCCATACACACATACACACATACACACACACACATACATACACACACACACACACACACACACACACACACACACACACACACACACAAACCTCTTTTAACCTACTATTCCTGCTTACTGTCTGCCTCACTTAAAATGTAAGCTGCTTGTAAATAGGGGTTTTTTTTTGGGGGGGGTTCCCCTCTTACTAGTATGTCTTAGTCACCAAGAACAATGCCTGGCACACAAGAGATGATCAACAGATAAGCACCTGTTGAATATTCAAGTCTCAGGTGTCTTAAGGCCAATTTATTTCACATTTTTAAAAGATTAATTTTGTGTCTGAGAGTTTTACCTGAATGTATGTATGTGCACTATGAGTGTGCTTGGTACCCATGGAGGTCAGAAAAGTGTGTTATATACCATGGAACTGGAGTTATGGATGACTGTGAACAACCATATGGATGTTGGAACTCGAGCTCAGGTCCCCTACAAGAACAAGTGCTCTTAACTACTGAGCCATCTTTCCATCCTCTTCACCAAAATAAACATGAACAGTCGTACTAAATAGATACCTCCTTTCTAATTTAGACTGAGAGCTAATAAAGGAAAAGAACTAAAGATCAGATTTTTTTGTTCCTATTAACTTCCATTTACCAATTTTTTTTTTTTTCTTTTTTGCAGCACTAGGGAATCAAATCTTGGGTGTTTTACATATTAGGCAAGTATTCTGTTCCTCCCTACCCCCAACAAACACACACTTTTTAACCTACTTATCCTGGAAATGTTTTTAAAGGCAAAGATATATCAAAAATGTTTTAATCAGATTAGTTTTTTTTAAGATCTTATTCAAAATAAACAAGCAATTAACTGAGTTATTTTTTACAGGCTTAAATCTATTTTGAATTTAACTTATAAAAGATGTAAGTTTTAAAATTTACTAATATGAGCTATAACAACACACATAATATTTTAACATATAGCTATAATGTTTACTTGAAATGTTCTCTATACATACTTGACAGCAGTCCAGCCCACCACAACCATTCTTTAAGATATGCATGGCCACCTTGACCTGTGAATGAAGAAATATTTCATTTCTTTGGAAGATTATCATTCTCTTGTAAAACCTGTAACAACTATTAAGTAATCACAGATTTTAAAATGTCTGATTATAAGATTTCTTGACATTTCATGATTGCCTTAGAAAAGATATGAGGATCATGAGAAATCTTCAAAATGTTTACATTAGTACTATACTCTTGAGTTAAAGAACAAACCTAATCCTTGTAGTTTAAACGGCAGCTTTAATAAATAAGGAAAATGAACCAACAAAAAGTAACACAGCTGGGCATAGTGGTGCACACCTGCAATCCCAGCACTTAGAATTCTGTCTCAAGCAAGACAACTACAAGTTTGTAGCCAGCCTGTGTTATAGAGTAAGTTCCAGAAGAGCTTGAACTAGAATAAGATGCTTTCTGGAGGGAAGGGGTTACAGAAGTCGCTCAACTTCAAAGGAGTTAGTCTGTAAAGAGGAACACTAGTTAGATGGATGCAGCCCCACTTGAGAGAGCACTACGGTCATACAAAGACTGAGAACTGCTCATAATCCAGACTGCCAGGAGACAATCTACTTTTTCCTTGGTTTTCCACTTGACCAAACTAAATCAAAGCAACTGGTACTTCAGTCATTGTTCACAAAAAACAAAGTGAATGAATTTTACAAGTCTATACTTTAGGAATAAGAACAGGAGATGCCTTAAGACCAAGGTTGAAAGACTACAGAAAAAAGCTGAGATGCTAATGTTTTTTCCTTTGTCCATTAAGTCCTAAGAGACTTCTGTTTTATGTTTTAACATTGCTAAATTAGATCTGAGATGGCACAGGAAGAAAAGTGGTCCCTGTGGCTGACAATGATGGTCTAGTCTACTCATGAGGTCCAATAAGGTCTAAAATGAAGCACAGCCAAGAAGGAATGTAAACATTACTATCTCATAATTCTGGGAACTGTAGTGGATATCCATGGATTGAACTGAAGTTCACTTACACTGAGTATCCCCCAAGGTCTTGTAACATATTAGCAATTTGAGGGGAAACAACCTACATCATTCAGGTCAATTAGTCAAGTACTCAAGCCAGGCAGGGCCATTCTTTTCTTCATGCAATTTGAAATCATCAAGAAAATCATGTAAGGCAGAAGTCAGAAATTCTACTATCATGTACAAAATATCCCAGTCTTCAACAAAAGCCTGGTTCTATTCATATATCCTATTTCCTCCTGTGCAGACATAATGAAATTTAAACTCTAATTTGGCACTGGTCCTATTCCTATTTTGACAGTAACTATAGAAGTGAACAGTTAATTACTTTTGACAACTTATTTTTCTCATTACAAAACTGGTATCTGATTATCTAATAAACACTCAGAAATCTCAAACAGTTCAAATGTCCCAATATATTCACAAAGCATGAAGACAGTGCTTCTATACACAAAGCAGCTGAGTGTGTGAGTATTTATGTACTTCTGATACCTATAGGACATAACTTACCTGCTCTCATGGAGCCTTTTCTGGCAAGTCGCAGAAGGCCTTTTTTTTTCAAAATGAAACTCCCTCCAATGAAAATGCTGGAGGTCATAGCCAATCCCAGACCAATGTAAAAGTCATATTTTCCACGCCCCAGGCTCATTTCGTTTGTTACTTAAGTTCCTGTGAGTGACATTGATCACAGAACAGAGAAACTGCTTGTACTGGAGGCAGGGTGATTTAGTCTTCAAATCTAAATGATCTGAAATAAAGTGAGATTATCACAAAATGATTAAGACAGCTCACATAAAATTCAAATATTTACTTCATTTCTATCCTCATAAAGGAAAAATCTTTATTTACTGTTATTGATTAGAAACACATAAACTAATCTAAACTTAGCACTAACCTAATTATGTTTCTTCTTTTTATGGCAAGAGATTGGACTGTAATACAAAGTCAAGTTTGGATTAATTTTATAAACTCTAGGTTTTAATTATTTTAACTATTTCCAACCTTAGTTGATATTCCGTAATATAATTTTGCTGTTAGGAAAAGAACAAAAAAAAAAAAATATAACCATACATAAATCTAGATTATCAACATACTTATCCACTTCCCAAGCATCCTTATTGAGAAATTAAAATTTTTCTCATGCATATATCCCTGGGGCTAGGTGTGGTAATACATGCCTATAATCCTAGCACTCAGGAGGCAGACACAGGAGGAACTGGAGTTCGAGGCCAGCTTAGACACCGTAGGGAGACTCTAGAGGGGCAAGGGGAAGGAAGCTGTATGGATACAGTAGGTTTATGCTAATCTATTTAGCCTATCTGGAGACAGTCTGAGAAGAGGCAGTTTTCGCACTATTTTGTTATCTAAGAATGACAATCTTAACAAAGATACCTACTGAGATACGAAGTAATATTGTTGGTCTTTAGAGAACATCAGGACCATGGCACCAGAAGGCTCACTCCACAGCTCTAACAATAAGCACAGGTTTACAATAGATGGTACATTTATTTTCCAAATGAGCCAACTCATGAACTTCACTAATGTAAAAACTGAAGTTTACAAAGCAGAGGGGGGAAAAACATACTTTCTTCCACCTTTTGGCATCCCAGACTAATGTAGCCCAGGTTGGGCTTGAAGTAAAAATACTCTTGCCTCAGAGGACAAGTTTACAGATCAATGCCACCATACTTGACCCCATAAAGTCTCTGTTCAAACAGTATTTATTAGATGTATGCTGTATAAAATGGTAACAGCTTTTTTTGGCTATGTAGCCAATGGCCAAGCACATGCCTAACATGCACAAAGCTTTAGGTTTGATTCCCCAGCAACAGACATACCCAAGCAAACATACATACAAAACAAAAATGGTAACCTCTAGTCTTCAATAGGGAGGCAGACATGAGAGACAGCACTATAGCAACAATGAACATTACCACACTGAGTTAGTAGCACTCCAAACAAAGGGAAAGACCAGTTCATTATGACTCCTATACACTTCAATAAGATACTTCTCATCTTCACGGATTTGAGACTTGGCTACCAGGCCTGCTCTGGAGAGAAAATTATGTGGCAGGTTGCCAGTTTTACATATGGACCTCAAGTTCCACACACTTTGCTTGTTCTTTGTACCCTGCCATCACCACATGCGATAGCTAATATTGGTTGTCAACTTTACTGCATCTAGAATCAAGTAAATGCAAGCTTCCAGGCTCTCCTGTAAGAGATTTATGTCCTTGATCAGACCATTTGAAGCAGGAAGACCCACCCTAAGTGTGGGTGACATCATAAGGTGCAGCCTAGATAAAAGAATATGGAAGAAGGAAAGTGTTATTTTTGCTGCTTGCCTTCACTCTTGGCATGTTCAAGTATTTGGGTGCTGGCATTCCTTCACTGGTATTAGAACCAGCTGTGTTGGGGTTTTTTTCTCTTAATATATTTTTTTAACTAAAATATAACTGTACCACTTCTCTGAACTTCCTTTTTCCCTCCAGTCCCTTCCATGCCACTCTCCCTCTTAAATTGAGAGGTCCCCTTGCAGAGGACCCAGGATCGGTTCCAAGCACTCATGGTGGCTCAATTACCAGTAACGCTAGTTCTAGGAGATCAGATACTCTCTTCTGACTTCCATGGATACAGAGGCACATGCAGTGCACATACACACAGGCAAAATACTCACCCCCACAAAAGATAACAAATCTAAAAAAAATTTAATCCCCTTTTTATGTACATATATTCTTTTTATCAGTTCTGATCTTTTAGAGAATCCTGACTAATAAACCTTGTGAAGAGCATATCTCACCTGAGCCCACTGATCACAACACAAGGAAACATACACAACTATCACAGCTGACTCAACTTGTGGGCATAATCATGTTTACTCCTATATGCCCCTAAGACAACTAAATTAAACACTTCAACAGACTTTGTACAATAAATAAAATTTCCAGTATGGGAGCTGAGGATATGGCTTAATGGTAAAGCCCTAGATTTGATCCCCAGTTCTGCACAAAATCAAATAAAATCCACCAACATGATTTTTATTTACTTATTCTATTTTTTCAAAACTTTAATTTTTTGTTATTTTTGAAGCTCTTATTCTGTAGCCCAGGCTGTCCTCAAACTTGCATTAAAGCTCCTGTCTTAGGATTTCAAATATTGGGATCACAAGGTAAGAGTGAGCCACCATACCCAGTTCTCATCTAACTACTGAAAAACAAAGATTTACATGTAGAAACTTAGACCAGGCTGGCCTAGAACTCACAAAGATCCACCTGCCTCTGCTTCCTGAGTGCTGCGATTATGGGCACGCGACACCACCACCTGGCCACATGAAAGGTTTTAAAACACACCTTCAATGATGAAATGTTGCAGAAATCACTATCAAGTCCCAGAAGCAAAGCTGCCCAATAGCCTAAGGTAATGTCCATCATGTGAAGGAGAAACAGATCAGACAGCAGCATCAGTACAAAACATTTCCAGGATGGCTCTTTCAAGGGATTTCTAGTCGTCCCTCTGCAGCTCCTAGATGAACAGTTGGAGACTGTCAGGCTCTAATTACAACAGGTACACGTAGGAAAAGAAATAAGCTAGACAACCTAAGGTACCGCTCTCTTCATATGCCCAACACTCGGCACCTTAAGTTTAAATGTAACTTCCTCGAGCTCTATCTGACTGTAACCACCAGTTACAGAGACGGAAACACATGCAGGGAGGGAAGAAGTAGGGCTTGTGGACAAGACGGACAGACATCTCTATACACTATCAGAATTTTTTAAAAGGACTTCTGCTGACACTGTTCCTATCACAGTCTACATACTTGGTTTACTTGTTTATGAGCAAGTCACCTAAGATCCTAGGCAAATTATTGGCCTTTGAAGTCCACAGCTTTCTGGCAGCTACAAAGTATGCTTCATGTTTTTTAGATCAATACAGATGAATAGAATGAATGTTAACTGACCCTAAAAAAAAATAAAGCTGCCTATTCTGGAGTGGCCATTAATAGCTAATAAATAGCTTCATCATCTCGATCAGCATTGTAATATGGAACCAAACTGTGAGAGCCTATAAGCTTGAGAACTGAAAAATATCAAAGTAAGCTAGGAAGTAGTAACACTGGATATGAGTCTGGGAAAAAGGTAAGTAAAAACCTAACTATCAAACACTCCTGTCTCATAACAAGGTGGAAAGTGAAGACTCACAACTGAGGTTGTCCTCTAATTTCCATATATGCACCAAAGAATACATTCACACACCCCAAATACACACCACACACACACACACACACACACACACACACACACTTTTAAGTACAAGTGACCAATAGACAAAAAAAAATGTTTAACACCCTTAGCCATCAGGAAAACACCAATCAAAACTGTACTGAGATTCCATCTGAACCCAGTCAGAATGGCCATCAAGAAAACAACAAATGTGGGGGAGGGTGCAGGCAATAAGGAAAACATATTCATGGAAATGTAAACTAGTACAGCTGTTTGTATCTGTATAAAAGTACTTCCAAAAGCTAAAAAGAATATATAAAATCTAACTACACTATTTATGGGCCTTTCCCTGAAGAAACTGCCAGAATGCCACAAAATTATCTTTACATATATGTTTATTACAGCACTGTTCACAAGTCAAAACATACCAACAGCCAATGCCTATCAAATGGCTGAACAGAGAAAATGTGTCCTACACACATGGGCTTTTATTCAGACATAGAGAACAAAATCACATCATTTGCAGGGAAATGGATGAAGCTGGAAATTACTGTTAAGCTAAACAAACCAGGCTCATAATAACAAATATTTAATTTTTCTTATGTGCAATATAGATTACACACACACACACACACACACACGACAAATTTTTTAAAGAGTACTACTTGGAGATATATGTCATATTTTCTCTTATATGTGGAATCTGTATTTGTGGGTGTGTGATGAAGACAGAAGAATTATTGGGAGAGGGAGGAATCAAAAGGCAAGGGGAGGAATGACTACAGACGATAATAGAGTAAGAATATGAGTAAAGTATAATGTACTTGGATGAAAATGTGGTAATAAAGAAGCCTACTAACGCATATACTAACAAAGTTAGTGATAATAAAAACATGACATGAAAGGAGAAGGGATTATTTGACAAGAACACTGGGAAGGGTGATAGACAAGAGAGGGGATGAGGGGTATAAAATAAAGTACATTTCTGCATAGAAAAGTTCTAATTAAGTCCATTATTCTATAAAATTAATGTGTACTTAAAAGATCAATATCATTGCAAGTGTGAGATGAGCCTGGGATAATGAGACCTTGTCTCAAAAATAAAAGACATTCTTTTGTGACTCACTGCTTACTCTCAGAAGAGCTGCCCCCAACACCCCCGCAGCTGTTACACTTAGCTAGCACCTAGGCTCAGGAGAGAAGGCACAAAAATTTTTAAGAGGCATTCGTGATGGACAACTCCAAGGAAATAGCATCTTTGGACATAACAAGGCTGATACTAACACTAACTCAGAGAGACTGTGACAGCACACACAGACTTCAAGTTCAAACCAGACAAAATCCCAGCACTGAGAAGGGGAAGCAGACACCAAGTTCTATTCCCCTGCCAAGAGCAATTTATAACTGGTACCTATTAAGAAAGGGAAATCAGTTTTCTCCTATGGAGTGACACTGGGTATATCAACCACACTCCAGAAGTCAGCCAATGCAAAGTCACGCCATGCTTTCTGTGTGCTTTTTATTGTTTTTTTCTTACTAATTTTCTTTTTATTTTGTTTTTTGTTGTTTTTAAAAGAGGGAGAGAGAAAATGAAAACATGAAGTTGGAGGATCTAAAAGGAGTGGAAGGAGGGGAAAGAAATGATCAAAATATAAGATATGTATATATAAATTCTTAGTTAGGGTTTCTCATGCTGTGATAAAACACTATAGCCAAAAGGATCTTGGGAAGGAAACAGTTCATTTCGCTTACAGTTCCACATCATAGTCCATCATCAAACAAAGTCAGGGCAGGAACTCAAGGTGAGCAAGGACTTAGAGGCCTGGAGGAGTGCTGCTAACTAGCTTACTCAGCCTGCTCTCTCACATGACCACCAGCCCTAGGGTGCATGGCCCACAGTGAGTCAGGCACTCCCACATCAGTCACTGATCAAGAATACTCGCTAGCAGCTGGCACACTGACCAATCTAGTAAGGGCATTTTCTCATTTGAGGCACCCTCTTCCAAAGTGACTCTAGCTTGTACCAAGATGACATAAAACTAGCCAGCATGGTATGAAACAAACGAAAACAACGCTAATATTATGTGCTGCCTTGACATCTGTTATAATGGAGAATTTTGAATTGTCTCACCACAAACTCCCCTCCAATCCCCAAAGCTAAACTATCTTTATCACAGTAGCCAGGCAGTTTTGTTTATGCCATGTAGTGGGCTTCACTACTCTGCCAGTCTAAGAAATTATCAACTCAAGCAGTCACATCTCCCTCAGGAACTACAAGGTACTTCTCTAATTAAAAAGCCTGCCTCCCACAGTTCTTTATTATGACTATCACACCCATGAGGCCCTGCATGTTGTGTGCAGTGTGCTCTTTCTCTGGTTTGAGTACAGGAAACTAAGAAACTACTTTATATGCCTAGTGCCAGGGTCAACCCTGCAACCAATAAGGTAAAGTGGTGATTAAAATAATGCATTTTTTAATTTTATGCATTTTAAGTCCAAATGAGATCATTCATTTTGATAGTTTAGTGGTTGGTGGCTGCCTTAGAATCTAAAGACAAGCCTCCCACTCCTCTCCCAACTGGTATATTTCCCGAAGTAAACAAACTGAAAAGGCAACCTTAATTCTAGAAAGTCATACATTTTATCCTAAGATCAACAAAAGTTAATTGCTCCTATTTTTATTATGCCTTTCATATGAATTTCCTTCACAAGTTTCATAACACTGTTTAAAATCTATTTTCCCTTTTCTTTTTCTTTTTCCCTATATACTAACCAAACACAGAAAGTCAAGAGGGCTTTGGGGGCAAGTTGACTCAATCATGTACACGTGGTTTTAAAAAATTCTCAGTTACTGTTCTGTCTTTGAAGACAAACTTTAAAAAATTATTTAAAGAATTATTTTATGTTTAAGTGTTTTGCCTACATGTATGCATGCATGTGTGTTGCTGGTGCCCTTGAAGAGGGTGTCAGGTCTCCTGAGACAGGAGCTGCAGATGGCTGTGAGTGCTGGTCCTCTGCAAGAGCAACAAGTGCTCTTAACCACTGAGCCAAGCCTTCAACCCCCAGAAGATAAACTCTTCATCTTCAAACTAAGTTCCTTAAAGGCAATTACTTTGGTTATCTGTGGTGGTTATGCACAAAAGCACTCATTTGTGATAGCAAATTTGATGTGAATGACTTTCTAGAATTAATGTTGCTTTTTCAGTTTGTTTACTTCTGGAAATATACCAGCTGGGAGAGGAGTGGGAGGCTTGTCTTCAGATTCTAAGGCAGCCACCAGCCACTAAACTATGAAAATGAATGATCTCATTTGGCCTTACAGTTTAATATTAGGACATATGTGTGGATATCCCAGAAGAAATGAGTTGCTTTGCTAGTCTCTGGTCTGGTATTAAGTACTCTGTTCCTACTCTCTGTAACTGAAGGTCAACCACAGCTGAGAGCACATGCCATAGACATATATACGACAGGGCCCAGCTTACAGAGAGCTGAACAAGAAAACATAGGGGGTATGAAAGATGGTTCAGCAAATAAGAGGACCCAAGTTCAACCCCCAGCACCCATGTTTCAAAAAGCTGGGTATGTCCTTGTCAGTACCTATAACACCAGTCCTGGGAATAGGAGGGAGAAGCCAGAGAAATAGGATTGCTCGGGCTTGCTTGTTGCCAGCACAGCTACAGGTTGAGTGAGATAGCAATTAACAGAGCAGGACACCCAACACCTTCCTCAAGCTTCCACATGTGTACCCACCTACACAGAGCATATTTGGTACATTTCAGGGCTGGGAGTAAGGCAAGGCTCATTAGCCTGTGTGCAGCCTGGATAGAAAGGGAAAAAGCAAACTTGCTAAATTTAACTTCAACTAGATTTCCAAGCAAAAGATGATGGGGAACCTACCCTGTCTATTTCTCAGGAGGCCTCAGACAGAATGGCCCCCAACTGTTACTATCATGTACAATGAGACTGTTTAGTAAATATACTGAGCAGTTATTTATGTACTATGTATTATGCACTGGAATTCAAAAGCCCAGGGAATCCTCAATCAAAGGTTCCCATTTTCAAGGATCACACAGTAGAAAATGAAAATAATAAATTCAATTTTTGTTTGTTGACACAGGGCTTCAATGTATGGCCCTGGCTGGCCTAGAACTAGATCTGTAAGCCAGGCTGGCCTTAGACTCACAGAAATCTACCTGCCTCCATCTCCCAGTGCTGGGATTAAAGCAGTACACCTCCACACCTAGTCCAATAAATTCAAATCTTGTTTTGTTTTGAGACAAAGTCTCTCTATGTAGCTGTGACTGTCCTGAAACTTGCTATATAGACTAGACTCATCTCAAACTCTACCTCTGCCTCCCAAGTGCTGGGATTAAAGGCATGCACCATCATGCCTGATTAGATTAAATTCTTAAACACATTTTAAAACTTCCATTAAATACAAACTTTTAAACTTCCATTAAATACAAGTATGTGCAAAGTAAAATACATCTCGAAAAATCTAATAAACTTGATCTGCTTTCACTTATACTACAGAGAAAATGTATTTTAAGGAATAGGAAGTGGGTATGGTAATATTCTAATATATATTTTAAAAAGCCTACATTGAGACTTTTTCTTTTTTGGTTTTTCTTTTTTTTTTTTTTTTTTGGTTTTTCGAGACAGGGTTTCTCTGTGTAGCTTTGCGCCTCTCCTGGAACTCACTTGGTAGCCCAGGCTGGCCTCGAACTCACAGAGATCCGCCTGGCTCTGCCTCCCAAGTGCTGGGATTAAAGGCGTGCGCCACCACTGCCCGGCCTTTTTTGGTTTTTCAAGACAGGGTTTCTCTGTAGCTTTGGAGCCTGTCCTAGAACATGCTCTGTAGACCAGGCTGGCCTCGAACTCACAGAGACCCACCTGCCTCCCAAGTGCTGAGATTAAAGGCATGCACCAATACTGCCCGGCTCATCGAGACTTACTTTACATAATGACAAACAAGAAACTCCATCACCAAAATTAACAAATTTAAAAGTTACACCAACTCTCAAGTATATCTACAGTTTTAAACTTGGCAATTTTTCCTGTTTCTTTTCCATAAGGGCTTGGGAAGATATGTGGAAGAGACCAGGAATGAGAAAACAGGCAGACATTAAATAACTTGTCATGCACCAGCAGGTAGCAGACCCAGGGCTCAATCCAGGTTTCATCCTTAGTTCTCTCCTTTTCCCAATGGATGTTTCCTAGTCACAACAGGTTGACAGCTAAAACCAGAGTTCCAGTGTAGTTACCTTCTCTACCCCATGTATTCCTGCTACTACTCTGACAATGCTGTCACCACCCTTAGCACCCAAAGTGGACAAAATAGGTATTCCACCTGTAGGGCAGGTCTTGTATCAGCTCTGCTTAATCAGATCTGCACCCCCATGTCTCCTGGCCCTAATCCAATTTAAACCATACAATGCTGTCAACTGGGGTAGAAAACATCTTTGCCAATCTTACTCTCCTGCTTAAAAATTTAGGAGTTAGGGTGTAGTACATGGATAACATGGGCAATAAAATAAAATAAAAAACTCCTCAGAATGATTACCCACTATTTACCAGTCTTAATTTTCTAACCCAATAACTAAAACCCTTCATTTTTTCCACATCCAATTCTTAAATCTTATTTCCTAAAACTATGTTTCACATACCTTGTGTTCTTTCCAAGGTCAGGGTACTGCCACTCTAACCTATTCCAACTTCTGTTTATTTACTCTGCCTCCACTGCAAAGGGCCCAATCAAAAAGTGCTCCTATAAGCAGGTGCTGCTTGAACTCCAGAAGCCAAATCAATTACCATGTTCTATGAATTCCCTAGTCTTCAGACTGTACCATTCTGGTTTTTCTAACCTATATTAATATTACTTTTGTAGATCCTAACCTCCTTCACTGTGACTCTCAGAAAAGAACTGGCTTGCCTAACACATTTACTTAAACAAAGATGTTCTGAGTACATAATGTATTTATGAACAGGGAAAAACTGACCAAAACTCATTTTCTTGACAGTTACATCTCAGGAGGAGGCAGGGTAAAACAATAAATAAAAGGACATTGCAAAGTGGTAAATGATGTGGTGAAAAAAAAGTACATTATGGGGGCTAAAGAGCTAAGGGAAGAGGTCATGATGAGGTAACACTGAGCAAACTTGAAAGGGATGGAAAAAGAACAAATCAGCAATACAAATGCAAGCTCTGACATAAGAGTAGATATGCCGTTTTCTGGGAAAGGAGAGACTATTATGGTTGATCCTAAGTGAGCAAAGTTAGGTGGGCTACCATAGTAGAATAACATTCTGTGTCAGACCACGTGGGTGCCCTGTAGGCAAGACACAAAGCCAAAAGACAGAAAACACACCTGCAATACATTTATTTTGCCAGACCACAAGTTACTTTTACCTACAGTCATCATAGAACTTTATACAAGTGTTAACTTTATAAATTTATTTGCACAAGATTAATACAATTAGGTATACATAAAATGTTATAGCTGGGCATGTTTTAATCTAAAATATATGCTTAGCTCTACAATACAGAAGTACTCTTTTTAGTTTGTCAAGTAGGGACTTTTAAAAATCTAATACAATTTTTATTAACTATAATTTTCATGTTATACATTAAATTTCGCAACTTATTCTCCATACCCGTTACTTTGCATCCTTTGTCCTAATTCTCCCATTTACCCCACCATCATCACCATGTCCCTCTACAGAGAAGTTCTTGTGTACATCACAACATACATGAATAAAATAAGTCAGAAGCTTATTTTATGTTTTCTATATAAAAAAAAGGGTACTGTTTAGTCATGTGTAAATCATTTTATATCTTCAAAAACAAGCGGAACTGTTTTTTCTTACGGCTAATAACACTTATTTTACACAATATCAGAAGACAGCACTATTCCACTTTACAGCCACAGAAAACATCCCTCACAATGGAGGCACTCAGGGGAGGGTCACTCAGGAAACTGACTCTGCTACTCCTGACTGCTACATCTCGTCTTAAAATTTTACAGTTTGTTGTTGTTGTTTTTAAAATGAGACAAAAGGGTCTCCTCATGTAGTCCAGGCTGGCTTTGATCTTGAAATAAATCCCCCGTTACCAGCCTCCTGCATGCTGGAATTACAGACTTGTGCCACCATATCTGGCTCTAAAAGTTCAGTTCTTAAGTCTTTACTTCTACATGGTTTTTATCGCTATCTAAAGTTTTTAGTAGCTAACTTCACATTTAACTAATTTTTCTTGTGTGTGCATGCCAGCACGTGGCGGGGGGGATTCCCACATGAGACCACATCTGTGGAAAACATTGTGTCCTCGGTCAATCTCCACCTTATTTTTCCAGATGGGGGTCTTTCAATGAACCTGAAGCTTACTGATTCAACAAGACTAGCTGGACAGGTGTGTTCTGCTGGATGTCGGGGTTCTTAGGAGGGTGATCAGAAGTAAGCACTTGACCAACTGAGCCATCTCCCCAGTTCCTTGGCTAATAATTTAAAACCCATATTTATAAATACTACAGAACCCAATCTCCAACCTAACTTAGCAACACTGTTAGAAATTAAAGTTTTAACTTACATGTAAGTTTAATGTGGTCTTTCTTTTTAAAAGCAGAGATGACTTATTCATTCTCATTTTCTTGGAAATGCTATCCTTTATTCCCATGTAAAGTATTCAACCATGGAGGAGTAGTTCCTCCACCCTGGAAAGGAAATATGAAAGTAGGTGAAAGGACTGAAAATTACTAAATATTTTTAAAAATACAGATACTGGCCTCCATGTTCTTTTCATTTATCAAGCACTATAAAAACCACAGCTGACTGGAATGAAAAGACCTCTGCTCTTCGACTTCCTCTTCTAACTTTAAAGTACCAAATGAGCACATGATACAGAATCTCAAGAAAAAGAACTTAAGACGTAGTCCTAAACTAAATGTCTTGACACTATAGCAAAGGCATGAAAGAGGCATGAACCCAAAACATTGCGTTTTGTGTAACTGCACGAAAACTAAGATATCATCGACCCTATTAAGTCCTAGGGAATTAAAACAAGCACGATCAAAACGTTATAGCAAGCTGAAACCATCTTCTAAAAACTCATGAAGGCAACTAAAACTGATATACAGAACTTATCGAGCACGCGACCGGACAGGGCCAACCAGCCAGACTTCCAAGCCGGATTGAATGGCAATCCGACTCACCATGGACTTCTCACTGCGGATCACTAGGGAAGCTGCGTCCACCTCCGAACACGCGAAAAAAGAAGTCGCCCCGGGGGCCTCTCTCCGACCTCTGACGGCCGAGACTGGCCTCAGCTCAGCCCTGGAGCTTGCTTACAGGAAGTAGCTACCTTAGGGCAGTCGCAGGCCGGCGGGCGACACGGCTCCCTCCGGGACCCGACCCAGGTGCCCGCTCACACCCCCACGCAGGCGGCTCGCTTCTGCGCGCACACGGCCACCGCCTCCGGCGACGTCCCGCGGGAAGTTCGTGCATCCGGGACTGCAGTGAGCGCCGCCTCCTCCATGGGAGAGCCAAGAGGAGCCTACCTCGGACAGCCTTCGGCGGCACCGCCGCCAACACCAGAGCAGCCGCCGAGAACCTGGACGCAGCTTAGTGACGTAAACGCGCGCGGGGGGGCGGGCACAGCTCAGGCCCCGCCCCCCGGTGGCCTGGCGAGGATCGTCGCTCTGCCCGGACAGCGATCTGGAGGAGACTGGCGTCTTTGGGAGGTGGCTTTTGACCACCGACTTATCTAAAAGCAAACCCTATGTGCCTCGTATTTAAAATATGATTTCCTGGGAGCGTTCACGTGGGACCTTTGGGGCTGAGGGTGTCGGTTTGACCGCAAAGGGCGGAAATGGGAGGGACAAGGAGGCAAATTTCCAGGGAAAGGGCAAGTGGTTGATTTGGCAAGGTTTGTGGTTTGTTAAAGCTTGTGGAGGAGCTTGTGATTTGCTAAGAGCTGGTCTTGCTACACTTAAGAGTTCTTTTTCACGAGATGCACAGGAAACCCAGTACTAAGCTTTCCTCGGCTGCTTCTGGATTGAAAAAGTCATTGAGGCCTACTGAAAACCCTTGCCTACAGGTGTGAAGGTCTCTTGAATATGCTACTCTGGGTTGTGACTAACCTCAAGAACACTAGTTGGAGTGTGTTGGGGGGACAGAGGGAATCCTTCTAAAATGGATTATATGTTAATTAAAACAGAAAAACAGCAAATGTAGTTTTCCTGTTATCTATTCTAATGCTTTGGGAGTGGTGTCCTAAGACACAGCTGGAGTGGCTGAGCAGCTAACTTAAAAACTTTTACTCCGCTGTGAACTTCACAACCATTCACCCGAGTGTCTTAGAACTCACTGTGAGGACTTATTTTGCCTAGTTCTTTGACCAGATAATTTCTAGATGAAGTATAAGTATAATTTCTAGATGAAGTATAAGAATCATGATTGGCAAGCTGGACTTTGATGGTTTGACAGATTAATGAAGAATGGCACTTACCTTCTCCACCTTTCCTTGGGTACATACATTTTACAGTGACTGCATCCCTACTCTCCCCGTGTCTGCATTGGCCCGGGACTGGTGTTGACTGAAGAAAAAAATGCCAGTTATTAGAATGAACCTTGATAGGCCTGAGCTGGTGGTCAGAAGGCACAATACAGAACAAGATTAGAAACAAAGCTACCCTCCTGACTTCCTGGCTAACTCATAATTGCAGGCAAGGGTCAGGTTGCTCCACATCAGCAGAACTGCCCCACTGACTTACAGACATATGAGAAAGAATAAATGATTGCCATCTCATTTTGGTTTGAATTGATAGGCAGCAATAGCTAACTGATAAAGATGCCAACAGACACCTCCAAAAGGTAGGTTTTTATCATAAAAATACTGGTTGGTTCATTTGAACAGAGTGTGTCGGATCAGCATTGTAATTTAACCAAAGTAAAGAATTGACTTGTGGCACCTTTTTTTGTCACTGTCCTAATCATCCCAGATTCAGTTCTGTCTCTACTATCTGCTATCATCATTGTAATCTTTAAGCTACTCTTGCATTCTTTATCTGGCCCTCCAAATGAACACTCTCAAATCCCACAGTGCATAATGTTCCATATCTTACATTTTTTGAATGTTCATGCAGGGATCATGGGCCCTTAGAAGGCAGAGACAGCAAGATTGCCACAAGTTCAAGACTTGCCTGAGCTATATACATAGTTTTAGGGTAGCCTGAGTTACAGTGTGAGACCTTGTGTCAAAAAGAAAAACAAAAATAAAATTATAATTCTTTTTCATATGTTGTTGATGGAATTTAAAATAGCACAACCTTGGAAAATAGGTTGACAGCTTCTACAAAAGTTAAATGTAGCAGCTGGGCACCCTTTTAATACCAGCACTCAGGAGGCAGAAGTAGGCATATCTCTAAGTTCCAGGACAGCCAAGACTGTTACACAGAGAAACCCTCTCCTGAGTCCTGGGATTAAAGACATGTGCCACCACCGCCCAGCCCAGTAGATGCCTTTAATTAATTCCAGCACTCAGAAGGCAGAGGCAGAGGGACCTCTGAGTTCAACCCAGCCTGGTCTACAGAACAAATTCCAGGACAGCCAGAGCTATAGAGAGAGACTCTGTCTCAAAAAAAAAAAAAAAAAAAAAAAAAATCCAACCAATATGTCCCAGCAATTTGGGGAATTTAACAAAGAAAAATGAAAACATATAAGCATGAGAAAAAATGTAAACAAACATTCTACAGCAGTTATACTTGCAATAACAGCATACGTGGTTATATCTCAAATGGTCAAATGTGAACAAATCAATAAACGGTACCATATCTATATGATGGGAAACTAACATTAATAAAATGGAATGAACAATTGCTACGCGCTATAACATAACTCAGTCTCTGCTAAGTGAAAGCCAGTCACTTCTTGCACATAAAGTATCTGGCTAAGAGAATAGATTTGCATAAAAGTCTGGGGAATGGTAATTAGCATACAGTGGCACAAAGTGTTTGCTTGGGAGTGAAGGGGCAAGAAAAGCAGAAGGTTTCGGGGTATCAAAAGGAAACTGGCATGATGGCTGTTTTCAGTTTTACTTATGATACTTTCATCATATGTACCATATTCTATATGATTGTAACTTATGTGCCAATTGTACCCCAATGAAGCAATTAGATCTTGTCATTACTACAAAAACATTCAAGACTTGTTAAAGTGGTTTTTTGTTCGTGTTTGTTTTTTTGAGATAGCTCCTCACTAGGTAGCTCTGACTGGTCCTGAACTCAGAGATCCACCTGCCTCTGCCTCCAGAGCACTAGGATTAAAGGTGTGTGCCACCATGACTGGACCCTAAAGTAGTATTTTTTTTTTAACTGTGGCTAATACATAGTTTTCCTGTGTAAGTTTTGGCTATATTACCACAAAAGCACAGAAGTGCGAACAAATCATATTTTCCACAAGCAACACCTATTGCTAGAGTTGCCCTTTCTAAGTGTCTCACTTGGTAAAATGGTAGGCAGAATTATGCCCACTCAGCGATGTCCCTGTTACAGCTTTCACGACCCATAAATGGAACACTATGTCACATATTATGCAGATATGGTTGAGCATCTTGAAATGGAAAACTGATTCAGAATTTTTCTAGTAGATCCAACATCAAAAAGGTCTAAGATGAGGGTAAGAGTGACAAGTGTTGGGTAATGTGTTACAATAATGGAGGAATGGTCACAAATGGTCACAGATAAAGGAAATAGGAATAACAGAATGCAGGCACACTCTAAATCTGAAAGGAGCAAGGAATGGGTACTCTCGGAGCCTTCGAAAGGATGTAATCTTTCCATACCCAGAGTGAAACCAGAATTGAACTTTGAGTTCCAGAGCACAGTAACAACCTGTGTTACTAGAAACCCCCAAATCTGTGGTAGTTGAGAGAAGTCATACTACTGCAACCAAAAAAAAAAAAAAAAAAAAAAAAAGTCAAATTAAGGGGAAGAGAAGATGGCAAGATACCCAGATATCTTAACTAAATATTAAAAAAAAAGTACAATTTTGCTGGGCAGTGGTGGCACATGCCTTTAATTCCAGCACTTGGGAGGCAAAGGCAGGTGGATCTCTGTGAGTTCGAGAGTTCGAGGCCAGCCTGGGCTACAGAGTGAGTTCCAGGAAAGGTTCCAAAGCTACACAGAGAAACTCTGTCTCGAAAAACCAAAAAAAAAAAAAAAAAAAAAAAAAAAAGGTACAGTTTTGTATATAGGCAATGTAGTTAGATCCTTCCTCTACCTCTGATCCATCATGCATCATGTCAGTTATTTTACTTAGATTGGTTATATTTTGTTACCTGCTTGCCTCGTCACCCATTAACATAGTCTAGTTCCACTCTGAACCTTTTTTCATGTCCTTGGCCCCTCAATAGTCCCCTCCCAGGGTTCGGGAAGAATCTACAACCAGCTGATAATTAATCTTTAATGAAAAGAAATGAATCTATGTAAACAAAACTCCTTAGTTCATATACTTTGTTATTCTGTGTCAGTTACAAGCTTATATTCTGCTCTCATATTTAGCTCATTTCTTGCCTGATTTCTCTCTATATTTATCTACTGTTCCCTCTAGGTTCTATCTTAATTCCTTCATCTAGTTCAGCCCCTTCTAGGTTCTCATCCATCTTGTTCTTTCCCATATCATCTCCTCTCCCATCTCCTTCTCTCTCCTCATCTCGTTCTTCCTCATCTTGTTCTTCCCCATCGGGCTCTTCCTCATCTTCCATCTCGTTCCTCTAGTCCTCTCTTCTAGCCCTTCAATCTAGTTCTTCCCCATCTCAGTTTGTTCCTCTCAAGTTCTTACCCATCTAGTTCTTCCATTCTCTTTCCTCTTCTCCGTCCTCCACGTGCCCTGGGAGTCCCGGTATACATACACTTACAAGCAGTATTCCCTTAGCAGTGCAAAGCCAGGCTTCCAGGGTCAAACAGGGGTGATAAGAATCACATAGGGAGGCAAAAACCGTTAATTATTATTTGCAACCCCAAAGAGAAGTGACCAATGAGGAAATGAATTAACTAAAGGCTAAATTCAGGTAATATCTAAGAAGAGGGCTCTCATGTGCTCAACTATAATCTTAAATGTGATTGGTAGAAAAATGTTAAGAATCTATAAGTTGCTAGGTCAATGGGAGAAAATAAAACTGCCTTCTTTTTCCTGTGGCTCCTATCTGTCCAAGATATTTGCCGTTTTTCTGCAGGGTGGGGGAAAGTGTGCTCAGTGTCTAGGCAACCTATGTACAGGTAGATGCCTCTGGTCATAGTTAAAGGGAGATCTGGAACTAGAGGTAAGGTTTGGGAAAGGAGGAAGTAAAGCTTAATTGGCACATCCGCCAGGCCTTCTCAAACAGGTAGCCTGGATGCTTAAGTCTGTTCTTAGAGAGTACAGAGGTATCTCTGATAAAGTACTTTCCTCCATCTGGGGATGGACCTGGCTGGATGCTGCCAATGATGATAATTACAGGGAGGCTTGAACTGGGGTTCTGGCTGAGCATAGCTGTCAGCACAGAAAGTTATCTAAATATTCCTAGAAGTGGTTAGGTGAGGAGTTCAAGGTCTATAAAGTTAGTAAAGCTGTAAGAAAGGAGGATCTGAGCTAAATTGTGTAAAGCTATTACTTAAAGTCCACCTGACCTAGGCGGTGTCTCCTTGTGGAATTTGCCTTAAATCAGGAGACCTTCATGTGGACTGTTATTACTGCTAGTCCTTGAAAGTAGCTAAGGGAGATATCTGATTCCAGAGAAAGCCTTTCCTGAGGCTGTTCTCCAAATACCTGGAATGTGTATGTCCAGAGAGTGATCAGTCCACACTGTTAGCCCTTCCTAGGGAAAAGTCAATTGGGAAAACTATGAAGGCACACATGATTTTCATAACAGAAGACAGCTGATATATATAAAAAGCCAAATAACACCAAAAACTCCTTGGAATTTGGCTTCCTCTGGAGGAATTCCATGATCCCTCCAGGTAGTGACTTTGCCATAACCAGTTGAGTTCTTATGATATATTCCTGTGGCTGGCAGCAACCCTCTCTGTTGTGGAATATTATTTTAACTAGGTAAAGATGTGTTCTATTTGTTTATGCTACAGAATATTACTTTAAATGTATAAAGGTGTGTTACAATTGTCTGCTGCATTTGTTTAATGATGTAAGGATGTGTGTTTAATTATGAAAAGATAAGTTGCATCTGTTTCACCTTGCCTGCCTAAGGCACCTGATTGATCTAATAAAGAGCTAAATGGCTAATAGCTAGGCAGAGAAAGGATAGGCAGGGCAGGCAGGCAGGGAGAATAAATAGGAGAAATACAGGTGTAAAGGGACATTTCCTGTCCTGATTCCCTGGTCCCAAATAACCAACTCAGAGGCTGAATATGAATTGTAAATGCTCAGTCAATAGCTCCAGCTTGTTACTAGCTACTCCTACATTTAAATTAACCCATTTCTATTTATGTATTGCCATG